TTGGCAACATGGAATTGTGAGACCTTGACAAGAATGAGGTCAATAGTGTGATGTGGAGGAAAGCCAGATTAGAAGAGGTTGAAGAGAGAAGATGTAACATTGAAAGTAAAAACTTTCAAGAATTTTGCTGTAATAGGGAGCAAAGAAGTAGCTGGTAACTTGACATTTTTCAAGTGATTTTTTTTTTCCCAAATGGGAGTTACAAAAGAACATTTTTGTAACTAATGGATCAGCATCTTAACAGAGACAAACATCTCCAGAAAATAGATGATGTAGGAATAAAGTCCTGGAGAAAGTAAACGGGGGATGGCAATTGAAGTGTACATGGAGGGAGGGGCCAGTCCTTTTGTGTAAAAGAGGCAGGAAAGACAGAGACTGTGGGTATAGACATGAATCATATTCATCTTAAGCTAATTCTGCTCAACCACCTTTAAAAATCTGGTGCTTCTGAGTTATGAGATCACATTCTTTGCCAAAATTTGTTCACACTTTCCAAAACTTGGGAGACATTTGGCTAAATGAACTTTCTTTACTGTGGGACTTTTCAGACTCTTTGATCTGCTCACGTGTATTGTAAGGAATTTATAGAATGCAACAAATCCCAAACTGATTTGACCATAGAAGTCCTTTCTTGTGAACTGCCCTTTATATCTGGGAAGACGTTTTCAAAGGAACATATTTTAGGAGATTCTGATTAATCAAAAGGACTAGAGTTCCTTTTATTAAAATTGATTTTTAAAAAGGCCTTTTCTTTATATTCTTTCTCATAAATCCTATTTTTATAGCACTCAAATAAAATGAAGAGAAGGGAGATTATATGGTAAATATGTGGGCACATGTATTTTTAACCTTGCTATTTTGACCTTTTTCTTAATAAACTAAACACTAGCAATGTAAGCACTACTTTTTACCTGATATAGTTCGACTAATATCTACCATTTTTTGGTTACTGTTTTCTATTTGTTTGCTATTTGTTGCCCTTGTTATTTGTTCCTATTTTTATCTTCCACTCTTTTTCTGCCTTTTGTGGTTTTAACTGAGCATTCTATGAAAGTCTATTTTCTCTCCTTTCTTAGTGTATCAGTTATAGCTCTTTTAAAATTTTTTTAGTGGTTGTTCTAGGGTTCTCAATATACATTTATAATTAATCCAAGTCTACTTTTTTTCAGTATTTATTTATTTAGAGTGCACTTGAATGGGGGCGGGCAGAGGGAGAGAGAGAATCTCAAGCAGACTCTGTGCTGAGCACGGAGCCTACTTGGGGCTCGGGCTGGATCTCAAGACCCTGAGATGTTGACCTTAGCCAAAATCAAGAGTTGGACACCTAACTGGCTGAGCCACCCAGGCACCCAATCCAAGTCTACTTCTAAGTAACACTATACCACTTCATAGATAGTGTGAATATCTTACAATAACAAAACAATCCTAATTTTTCCCCTCTGTCCCCTGCATCATTGCTGTCATTCATTTCACTTATACATGAATATCCAGAAACATGTATGTACATAAGACATAAGTAAGCGTATGTAATTGATACATTGTTGCTATCATTTTGAACAAACTGTTATCTGTTAGATCAATTAAGAATAAGAGAAAAATTTTTTAATTTTATCTTCACTTATTCCTTCTTCAATGCTCTTCCTTTCTTTATGTAGATATGAATTTCTAACCTATATTATTTTCCTTCCTTCCAAAGAATTTCTTCAACATTTCTTGCAAGGCACATCTACTGGCAAAAAATTCCATCAATTTTTGTTTATTTGAGAAAGTCTTTATATCTCCTCACCTTTGAAGGATAATGTTGCAGTGTATAGAATCCTAGGTTGGTGGCTTTTTTCTCTCAACACTTTATTTCACTCCACTTTCTCCATGCTTGCATGGTTTAGGAGATGTTGGATGTAATTCTTCTATAAGTAAGATCTCATTGTTCTCTGCTTTCTTTCAAGATTTTTTGTTTATCTTTGATTTTTTGTAGTTTAACAATGATATGCGTAGGTATAGATTTTTATCCTGCATGGTGTTCTCTAAGGTTATTTGGTTTGTGGGTAGGTGTCTAACTTTAATTTGGGGAAATTGTCAGTCATTACTGCTTCAAATTTTTTTTTCTGTTTCTTTCTCTCTTTCTTCTCCTTCTGGTGTTCCAATTACGCATATGTTAAACCTTTTGTAGTTGTCCCACAGTCCTTGGATATTCTGTTCTGTTTTCTTCAGAAAGTCTTCTCTTTGCTTTTCAATTTTGAAGGTTTCTACTGAGATAACTGCAAGCTCAGAGATTTTGTCCTTATCTATGTCTAGTCTACTTATCAGATCATTGAAGGCATTCTTCATTTCTATTAGTGTTTTTAATCTTTAGCACTTCTTTTTTGGTTCTTTTATAGGAGTTTTATCTCTTTGCTTACATTGTTCGTCTATTCTTGCATGATATCTATTTTATTCACTAGGGCTCTTTGCATATTAATCCTAGTTGTTTTAAATCCCCAGTCTGATAATTTCAATGTCCCTGCCATGTCTGGCTCTGATGCTTGCTCTGTCTCTTCAAATTGTGCTTTTTTGCCTTTTGTTATGCTTTGTAATTTTTCGTTGATAACTGCTCATGGGGTACTGCGTACAAGGACCTATTGTAAATAGGTCTTTAACAATGTGGTGGTGAGGTATGTGGGAAGAAGAATCATTCTATAGTCCTATGATTAGATCTCAGTTTTTTTTTTAAGATTTTATTTATTTGACAGTGAGAGACACAGCGAGAGAGGGAACACAAGCAGGGGAAGTGGGAGAGGGAGGAGCAGGCTTCCTGAGGAGCAGGGAGCCCGATGTGGGGTTTGATCCCAGAACCCCAGGATCAGGACCTAAGCCGAAGCAGACGCTTAACGACTGAGCCACCCAGATGCTCTAGATCTCAGTTTTTAAGTGAGTCTATGCTTTTAGACTTTGAACCTCACAAGAATTTCTCAGTTTTTTTCCTCCTTTCTTAGGTGGGGCAGGATGGCTGGAGTGGGCTGGAGTTGGGTATTCCCCTCTCTTAGGTCAGTTAGGCTCTGAAAATACCCCATCAGGTTAGGCACTGATTAACTAGCTTCCCCTGAAGGCAGGCCTTGTTAAGAAGAGCACAGTGCTCCGGTTATTTCAAGATGGCTCCCTTTACCTTCCCCCACCTGGAAGCCCAAAGGGAGTTTTCTCTGATATTTACTATGGGAAACTGGTTGAGCTCCTGGAGGTAAATGTCACAAAATGGTGGGGGTCCCCCATGACTGTGTCTACCTGGAGTTTTTACCTCTCAGAATTGTCCCCACTGAGTCTCCAGCAATTTGTTAATGAACATGCAGGGTCTCCTACCCCAACACTAGTTACCACAGGTGTTTCAGCTCTTGTGCTTCTGCCTTGCCTTCCTATTTGACTTCTGTCTCTTCAGTCTTGGGTGCAGTGATTTGCCCTGTGTCCCCATCTCTCTCATGGACCCAAGAAGAGTAGTTGATTTTTCAGTCTGTTCATATTTTCACATGTTGTTAGGATGGCGTGTAAACTTCCAAGTTCCTTACATGTGGAACCAAAACCAGGTCTCCAACCCTCCCCCCTTTTTTTATCTGATATGAAACAGCAAATGAAAATCCCTTTATTTACAAACAGAAATAAAAATGCATTATAATCAAATGTCACTTATGCTTTGAATGTAGTCAGTTTTAAGAACTCTCAAACTGCCTAATATGCTATAGCATCTTCCTAATAGAAGGCATTTTATAAATACTTGCTGAATGAGTAAATAAATGTATGAAGTCCCAGTAACTATGACTGTATATTATTAGATATAAAGAAATCCAGTTCACTTGCACTATTTAGAATAGTTTGTATTATCTTCCTGTTCAGTCTATTACTATATTGGAATGGTAGAAATGGTTTTACTGTTAGAACAGATTCTGGAATGGGGTGGTGGGGATGAAATAGCATTTTTACTACCCTAGACCAATTAAAAACCTCACTTTTTAAATTAAAATTTTAGTTAAATAGTAGATATTCAGCTACTCAAAGTCTCATTTTTAAATCCATGTTGGAAACTAGCAGAACCATCTATGCATAGTGAGGACTCTGCAAATATTTGTTTAATTTAATTAGATTTTCAAAAGGACCTGCCTTGATTAAACTTAGTACAAAAACTACACATATTTGTTTCATTTTAGGAAATCTAGGAAGGCCCAATTACCACAAATCATTTTCAAATGGACACCAATAATATCTGAAATGCTGCTTCAGAACATCTCTTATTTACTCATCAAATCTGGATGAAATATTTATTATGTGCAAGCCACTCTGCTAGGTGCTGGGAATACAAAGAACACTATTCTAGAGGCCAGTGCAGAGTCAGGATTACAAATAATAGTCACCTATTTTCTTGTTTGTATTGAGTTTTCAACAAATGACTCTTATCTGTATTTTGTGAGTGTATTCCTCTCCACATCCTCCTTCTTAGTTTTTTTTTTTTTTTTGCCCTTATTATCCTTAGTATTATTTATCCTGGAAAGATGATCATTTCTGAAGATGGAGGGTGAGGCTTACAGTTTATTGAAATTCAGACAGTCTTCTCCAAATGTTTTCTCAATCTCCTGTGTTCTACAGTAGCAAGAAGGTCCTCTATGGTTCTGGAAAGTTCAATATGTTTCTGTTTTAGTATGATATGGGGTGTGTGTGTGTGTGTGTGTGTGTGCGTGCAGATGCACGTTCATACATCCATGTGTTTGTCTACGTGTGCACACACAGGCGTGCTGAAATCTTTTCTTCTTTTCCAGCTAAGATCAGAAGCTTTAGGGCTGTGCATTACCCATATTTTACTCTCTATGCTGTCACTCCCTTTTCAAAGACAGCTTTTCTATATATTTCCTCTTTCAGTTCCACCTCCCTGGCCACTCCTTTGAAACGGGAAAGCATCAGGTGGTCTCCCACAGCCCACCCCCCACCAGCATCTTGCTGTTCTAACAGGGGATACTGTTTGCCTCTGGAGGTGTGACGCAGTCCGGATGAACTCAACTCAGAGCACTCTACCTGGATTCTACTGAGATCTCGTCCAAACTTTCAATGCTTTGGTCTAATTTTCATGCATTTGGAGCTTTTTAAAATTTATTTTCATCCAGGGTTATGGATTTTCATTAGTGTTTATTGAAGATGAAGTGGTCACTTCTGTTTTTCTCTTTGTTATTTTTGGATAGTTTCTAAGATGGAGAGAGGCAGAGAATCTTTTGCTCTGCCTCCTCTTCCTAGAATTCTCTTCAAAGGCTTAAAAGTAGTTATGATGGGACCGAGGGAGAGAAAGATGGAATGCCGAAAATTGTTGGTGATAGAAAATTAGAGTTTAAGATTTAAGAGGTGAAATTTTAGTTAGTGACAAATTCAAATATGCTTATCATATCAGAGGGAGAGTGGACATGAAAAACAGTGGAGATGAAAAGGTAAGGGAATTGTCAATCTGGAGTCTTGATTTATTGGATATCATCCATGCGAAAATTGAAGAATATAGTCATTGGTGTGGAAGGGGCTGTGAGTTATATAACAAAGTTCTCAGAGAATGGCTGTTGAATGGAAGCTGTGGGATGGCAAGAAAGCAACACCCAAACATTTTATTCTGTGTTTAAGAGAGAAGCTGCATCTTATGAGGGTTTGGGAGAAAAATCATATAACAGATGCAGTAAGCAAGCGCAGGCTTAGAGCGGCAAGGTCTACATGCCTCCGCAATAGCTGGCAGGAAGTTGGGAGGATTACAGATGGCTCCAGGGGTCTCTTTTTGGCAGGAAGTTGGGAGGATTACAGATGGCTCGAGGGGGTCCCTCTGTTAAAAGAAATGGCTTCTGATTTCACATTCGTCCCAGGAGCATCAGCAGCGTCGGGGCTCCTGCCTTTCTAGGTATTTTTTCATGATACATAGGAACTGCTAAAATATGTTGGGGGGAGTTTCTGATTTCATTAAATTTTCACAGGGGTAATGTTTGCTGCTTCTTAAGTAATGATGCAATAGGAAGAAAAATATGATTAGAAACTAATTGTAGCTGCTGCTTCTTTCTGATGGGATTGCTTATGTTATCTCTTGGGTAGAGAGGTCTTTTATTGAGGAAAGGACACTGGGATTGCTTGGAAATGTGATGCTATGCATGTAGCTTGGATGGAGCGGGTGAGAGAAATACAGAAATGAACTCTTGACAATATAAACCAGAGGAATTTTGACTTACTGGGGGTGCACAAGAAGAGATCGTTTAAGAGGTAAGTCAAACTAGAAGGGAAGAGAGCCTCAAGAAAGTGATGGAAGGCAGGAGACTTATGGGTAGGCATGGACAATGATGAATAAGTCCACAGCAGAGAAGTGATAACAAATATCTAGAAACAGTGATGTCCTCCACTGAATGTATTATTTCATTTCCATTCCATACATCCCCATCTGTTACTGCCAGGTTTCCATGGAAAGTTTTTTGTTCAAAATAGCCCTGTGTTATTTATAATCTGAGAATTATAGGTTAGGACTGGTTTGGGTTAGGACTGTGTGAGGTTCTGTGTGGCAGAAAACTTGAAAGAAGATAGCTGAAATATGATGGAAAGTTTGTTTATTTCTCACATAAAGAATTCTAGGGAAAGGCAATCTGGGCAGGTATGCCAACCTCATGGTCATCAGGGACCTGTGCTCCTACGTGTCCATCCTGGCACCGTGAGGGTATGGCTTTTATCCTTAAGTTCCATGCAGTTGCTACAGCAGCATGGAGAAAGGGAGGAAGAAGAACATATTTCCCTTTTCCTTGAGGCTTTCTGGAAGTTCCACATAACACCTTTATTTACATAGAACTTTCTACAGATCTTACTTACTAGTACTTAGAGACAAGGAAGACTTGGAAACTAAAACTTTTAACTGACTGCAGTTTTTCTAGGTAAAAATTAATATTCTTTTATTTTGAGGGACAAGACGGTAATGTGTAATTGGAAGGCAATAAGGTGTTTCTGCCATAGAAAGATGAAATTCAGTGGGGGAGGGGAACAAGTGCGTCAGCTGGGAAACATAGCTGGTCTACAGAGGAGAACCAAGCCATAAAGTGGACTGACTCAGAAAACAAACAAAAAGAATAAAACATGTTTATTGTAGCATTATTTATAATAACCAATATACGGAAGCAACCCAAGTGTCCACTGATAGATGAATGGATAAAGAAGATGTCATCAACACCCACTCTCACATACACGCACACACATACACACTGGAATATTACCCAGCCATTAAAAAAAATAATAATAAGATCTTGCCATTTGCAACAACATAGATGAACCTAGAAGATATTATGCTAACTGAAATAAGTCAGACAGGGAAAGACAAATACCATATGATTTCACTTATATGTGAAATCTAAAAAACAAAACAAATAAACAAACAAACAAGAAGCAGAAAAAACCCCATAAGTACAGAGAACAAATTGATGGTTGCCAGAAGGGAGGGGAGTGGGGGGATGGGTAAAATGGGTGAAAAGGAGTGGGAGATACAGGTTTCTAGTTATGGAATGAATAAATCACAGAGATAAAAGGTATAGGTATCATGGATTTTTTTATGTTCTTCCCCCCAAATCAATGTGTTCTCTTATTTCCTATTCTAGAAAGCCTGTTTAAGTATTTTGCTCAGTGTGATAACAGTTGATCAAATTTTCATTGAAAAAGTTTATGCTAAAATAAGAAGTGTTGCCAAATCTCACATTTTCAGTATTGATGTAAGCTATTTCCTGGTATGAGTCAAGGTTCAATCAGAAAAATAAACAACTATGGCATTTCAAGCAGGATGAAATTTAATACAGCAAACTAGTGACTTAAAAATACATGGGAAGGTCTGGAGGAGTGGTGATTGTGGAAAACACTCACTATTATTCAGTTCTATCACAAGCAATGCAAGCATTAGGAAGTTCCAAGAATCACAGGGAACTCCCACTAATGATCTCAGCTCACCACTGCACCAGATGAACGATTACCAGGGGATTTGAAGAAGCTGCAAAGAATTACTTCTGTTGAAGCCCATGGAGTCTCCTTACTGGACAAAAAATAATGGTTTCTACTTTCAAACTTTGTGGCCTCTGCTTAGTGGACTCTAACCTAGAAACCTAATGGCAGGGGATTCTGGGAAATGCATTTCTTAGACTTCCAGTCATTTGATATGAGGAGAGCAAGAAAAAAAAAAAAAATAAAGCTGCATGCTGGTTGCTCTCAAAAAAATAATATGCAATGCAGTCACTCTTTGGCTATTCAGCATCCATATGGACTCTACTACCTGTATTTAAATTTTAAAACAACAATATAAATAACATCCTTAAACATATCATTACATATTAACATAAGTAACATGTTTTTAATGACTATTTTAATAACTATATTTCCCAGACAAAACTTTAGTGAAAAGAGTGGCAGTGTTTCACATTTTGCAAATCTCTCTGATACTGGCCTAATAGAGGATGATTGGATTTTCATATCTGCTTCTGCATTCTGTCTTTTGTGATGTGTTGCTCTGGTTGAAGTAAATGAAGAAAATCCAGGTTTGCATGCATATATGTAGTTGAAAAAGGAAGGAGACTTTGCATAGCCTTTAAAATAATTGGGAATAGTTTTCTTTGATACTATACCCAAACTCAGCAAGCAGTAATTTCTTAAAGGTTAACTGTGATGTAGAATCTGAAACTAAGAAACTTTATCAATAAACTTTTCATTACATTAAAATCCATTGATCTGCCCATTGGTCTATTATGTAATGTAAATGTAGTTTTTACCCATGCATGATTTTGTAATATGATACATTGAACATTTGGAAAATATTGTCATGTTGAGTTATGCAGATCTTCCAAATGTTGCTGCATTTCATTATACAGTATCATGGAATTTCACTGATACCACTACCAAATTCCTCAGGAAAGTCTGTAAATATTGCAAAGCCGGCAAGCTAATTGAAGCCCACATTTGAAGCTTAAATTGTGTGATTGACATAAATACTGTCAGTTGTTTTCTTTAAGTGACAGGATCACTTTGTTCATTTTTTAAAAAGATTTTATTTATTTATTTGAGAGAGAGAGAGAGAGCATGAGCGGGGGATGGGGGTAGAGGCAGAGGGAGAGGGAGAAGTAGACTCCTGGCAGAGCAGGGAGCCCCAAGCAGGGCTCCATCCCAGGGCCCAGGATCATGACCTGAGCCAAAGGCAGACGCTCAACCAACTGAGACACCCAGGTGCCCCAGTAGTTTTTGTATTCTTAATCTCAATCAAATAAATAGCTTATTGGACAAAATTGTATTTTGATGATTAAAAATGTCCATTAAGTGATTGAATGACTAATATTATCCTTTTCCTACTAATCCATTCCCTTAGACAATACAATTTATGAAGCGGCAGACAGAAGATGACACTCTGAGTTCCATTTGATGAAAAAAAATGGGATCAGAAAAAACAAAAGTTGCTAATTTAATATACTATTTAAAATTATATCTTAATATCTATCAAATTTTCTTCATTGATTTCTGACTTCTTATTCTTTTAAAAATGTGTTTCAGTCATTCACTGGAATTGTTAAACCTTATTACCTGGTGAGATAGATTTCTGTGCAGTGAGTATATATCTTACATATAATAGGAATTCGATTTTTTTTTCTAAATAGTCACCTCTGTTTGTCTTTTACTAGCCACAGGGCAGGATTTGCTGGGGTGCCCATGATGATCTCTTTTAGCAAATTTGTTCGTTCACCTTTTCCTCTCTCCTGGAAACTTCATTGGCCATTCATTCTTTGAAGTTGCTAGCTTCCAGCTGACCCTTCAGTCTCTCCTCAAGTGTGTTTGCAGAGTGTACTCAAATCTCTCTTCTCTTCTGCCTGTAGGAAATGAGTCTACAGACCTTTATTTATTTTTAGATATTAACTAAAAATCAATATGGGAGATATGAAAGATTAAAAAGTCAATTCAATCATTCCATCTTCTGTCTGTGTTATTTGAGCCGAGCTGTTTCTGTTACGTGGATTCTGTCGCCTCATCAGGGCTCTCCCACTTTTTCCCCTGCAATAAACCCAGTTGGTCTTCACTTCCTTTCTCCTTCATTTTAGTTTTTTTTGGTTCAGGTCTTGAATATTTTTTTAAATCACACACTTATTATCTTCCATTTTTTTCCATCTGCTGTGGACTGTATTGTGCCCCCCCTCCCCTGCCTACCTCCTTAAAATTCGTGTGTTGAAGCCTTAACTCCCAGCACGATGGTAGCTGCAGATGGGGCTTTTGGGACGTAATGAGGTTTAGATGAGGCCCTAAGGGATGGGCCCCATGATAGGATTAGTGTCCTTATGAAAAGAGACACCAGAGAGCTTTCCCTCCTAATATCTCTCTCTCTCTCTCTCATCACAATGTGAAGACACAGAGAGAAAGTGGCTGGCTATCTGCAATCCAGGAAGAGAGCTCTCACCCA